AAATGCACACCTCACCTTATCCAACGGATATCGGTCTCTGGCGGTAAGGTACCAACAAGTACGGAGCTAACACTGAAATTACCTACAAAAAGGTCATGTGTAACCGACCTTGGATAGTGCGGTCACGCTCTCAGGTCACTAAGACCATCTCTAATCCAATTTCATTTTCAGGTACCTCCATAAGAACCCTTCCACGGTGTGGGCAACCGGGAAGTGATAACCCCCCTCATAATCCCAACAACACTCAAGATCATTGTATTCATTATCAATCACCGTCTTCAGTTTCTATTATTCCTCTTACATTGACTTTCAAATCTAAACCTTTTCTTTCGGCTTCCTCCCTAAGTGTCACTATGTCCAACGATTCTAGTGCGCAAAACACTATCTCAGGTCTACTGAAACCTCGCTTCAAACTGCACATTGGAGCCTTCACCGTACGCACCCTATGTCATATCGACCAGCAGACCTCCTTGGCTAAAACCCTAGAATCTCATACCATCGATGTGTGCTGTGTCTTCGAAACACACGTACAGGATCCTAGTGTGGTCATCCACTTGACCTCACCTCGGCAAAACGGAGGGCCGACGAGATAAGCCCTCCGTGTATCTGGTGACCCGACGGCCAGCTCTCGTGGACTGGCAGGAGTCGGCATAGCACTAAGCATGAGGGCGGAACAAGCACTATTAAGTGGATCCCCTTTAACAGTCTTCTATGTGCTGTTCGGCTAAACAGCTCCGTAAGAACTCGGAAGAATAGGGATACCCGTCGTTGGCTTTTCGTTGTTTCTGCCTATGCTTCCACTGACTGCAGCCCGGATGAAATGAAAGATGACTTTTACAGAAAGCTTTCTGAATTTTTTCAGAAAGCTAAACGTTCAGACATAGTGCTCGTAGTGGGTGACTTTAATACCCAAGTAGGTAGCTTAAATCAAAGGGAAAGACATTTTGGTGAGTATTTTAGTATCCCGGCTCAGCGAACAGTTAATGGTGATCGTCTGCTGTAACTGTGCCCAGATAATCATTTAATTTTAGCAAACACTAATTTTAAGCATAAAGAGAGACGCCGTTTAACATGGTGACTAACAAACACGCGTGAAATACAAACATGAGAACATCAGACTGGCTTCGAACCTGGTCGTGGCTGCATCGACTACATACTCACCATTCTTCAGGTTCTAAAACACAGGTATGCTTATTGGTGTTTTTCTTGGCTTAAAAGCAGCATTTGACTCGGTAGACCGCGAGACTCTGTGGCAGTGTCTGTCATTGAAAGGCGTACCCCAGAAGTACATAAACCTTGTGAAGGCTCTTTACTCGAACACTACCAGTCGAGTCAGAGCTTATGGCGAACTGTCATCTGCTTTTGCAACCTCAAGTGGTATCCGTCAAGGCTGTTCACTTTCTCCATTTTTCTTTAACTTCATCATAGACCTATTGATGGAAATAACATTCTCGTCTACTGAATTCTCGGGTATTGATCTCCTTCCAGGAGGTCCACTTATCGACTTAGAATATGCAGATGACATAGTCCTGTTTGGTGAAGACGCTGACAAAATGCAGAGTCATTTGGTAGCACTAAGCAACAATGCCAGAATGTTTGGAATGCGCTTCTCTCCCTCTAAATGCAAGTTGTTGCTTCAGGACTGGTCTGCGTCAACATCGGAAATAAGGATAGGGAGTGAAGTAGTCGGACGCGTTTGGCTTTTGCCAAATTACGTCACCTATGGCAAAGGCGAGATATCCGTCTATCAGTTAAGGGAAGAGTATGTTGCACAGCAGTTCGTTCTGTTCCACTTTACGGCTGCCAATTGTGGCCATTCAGTGTAGAAGATACTCGTAAGGTACAAGCATTTGATCACATATGTTTTAGAAATATTGTTCGCATCTGCTGGGGTCACCGGGTAAGTAATAGTGAAGTTAGACGCAGGGTATCGGGGAATGACGGTAAATCGATTGATGAGGTTGTGAGTCTTCATCGACTGAGATGGCTGGGCCACGTGTTGCGTATGCCTGAACACCGATTACCACGACGTGCACTGCTGACTAGTGTAGAGGATGTTTGGAAGAAATTTAGGGGTGGTCAAACCAAAACGTGGCACCAGTGCTTGAAGTCGCTAACTTGTAGTCTGAGTCATGTTAGTAGATGCAGACTACTTGGTTGGGGTAACCAATGGCTGGAGACTCTGTGTGACATGGCTCAGAATCTATCACAATCGCGTCGGTGTATACACTCTCTGTCTTCCCTTAGACCGTAAGATTAAAATCACTCTGTATCTTGATTTCTACGAACTGATTCTTTCTCTTTGTATAATATCCTTATACACAATCTTTCTTTGATACATTTCTATCATTGAAGTTACTACTTCTATGAATTTGGTGTTCACCTCGTGCTAATGAGATGTGACAACCTGAACTGATGCATATATGTGCCTGATCCCACGTTGTAGCTGACTGAACATCTAACTGGCGACCACTCAGTATTTATCTCAAGGTTCGATAAAGAAACAAGAAAAGGAAACTTGTTGAAATATTTTGTGCTGTGAATATATATACATTGTAGCGGTAAATAAATCCCCAAAATAAATAGTTCTGTAAGTTTTCGACATTGGATGATGAACACATTAGTTTTAATGGACTCACCTAGCTGAAGGCACTCGGTCATGCATCCACACCAGATCACGAGTGGGAACGCTGTGCTCAACAACCCCTGCAATCTCTAGCCAAATTAGATCAGACGATCCTCGATATATTGATAGCATATCAAATATATCTTCGAACCTCCTTGATTCTGTCTTTTGATTTCACTTGGTGGGTACGATTCATATTAGAAGGTGTTACTGGTTAAAGTGTTGTCAAACTCCGAATACCTGTGGCATCTTCAACATTGTACCAAAAATATAATATTGAATAAAGCCACTAATAATAATCATATATTGCCAGTTTCAATCTAGATTATTCAAGCCTACATTTATCCTTTCAACCATTCCAAATTTCCACAGTTTGAGCTGTACAAAAGTATTTTTGTTGGTTTATTCTTTGAAGGTGTTTATACTTTTAACCATTTAAGTCAAATCTGTAATTTATCCTCATTTTAAACAATTTCAGTTTGCTGTAAATCAGTGTGAAATATAGAAGTAAAATGTCAAAAAGTACTGTTCAAAGAAGAAGTAACCCGTTTATTAGGGTTGATAAATTAATTCCATGGCGTTATGAGTTGAAACCGAATCAGATAAACAAGATAATCTATTCTCTATGATTTCCAATGGATAAATCTATGAGTCTATGAATCTATAAGTTCCCTTCTTTATATAATATTGATTGTCTCTTTCTTACGAAAGTTTACTGAAGGAACTTAATTACTCATTTACACCTGTTACCCTAATGGAAGTGCATAGAACACTCACCAGCATTCTCTATCCAACTCTGTCCTTGGCAAACCTTTCCAGTTGTTTCCAATTACTATTTATCCTTTTCATATCTGCTTCCTATTCTCAGTGCAATGTGTTCTTCGACCTGCCTCTTTTTCGTATCCTTTCAGGATTGAAGAAACTAATGGTAGGAAATTTCCACTGGTTTAACAATGCAATTACCATTGCCTTTCTTAAAAGATCTATAACTCAAGTGAACATCTTATATATTATTCAAAAAGATAATCAAACTTTGATTACTCCATTCTGTCCAAATAGTATAATGCTAACCATATCATTCACCCGTGTTACAAATGTTTACTATCATATCAATTTAACTTTTGTTGGTAATGAACAGTTAAATAATTAAAAGATCTCTGTATATTCACTCAATTTTCTCTTTTGTGTTATACTCTTTAAACAGAAATGAATATGGTGTTTATTATTTGACTTCATGTGCATATTATCTTGCAGAAGATTGTTTAGTTCTCATCTGATTTCTCATAAATGTAAATCGGAAGTTACAGATGTTATGATTTATTGTTAACTACTCGATTTATGTCTTTTCTTATATATATATATGATTTGATCTGACCAAATAACGACTAATATTTATATTATATAGAAAGCATTTAAAAAGCAACAAGGAAGATCTGATGCAGACGTAAAGGAAAGGATCGGAAAGGTAGGAACAATATTTCTACAATTGAAGAACATATGGAACTCAAAACAACTGTCAGCCAGTATTAAGGTTAGAATTTTCAATATGAACATCAAGACAGTTCTACTGTACGGAGCTAAAACTTAAATAACTATTATAATCATCACTGAAAAACTGAAAGTATTTTTAAACAATTATCTACTCGAGATACTCAAAACCAGCTGTCAAGATACAATCAGCAACAACCTACTAAAAGAGAGAACAAACTAACTGAACAGGAAATTAGGAAAAGACATTGAAAGTGGATAGGACACACATTGGAGAAATCATCAAATCGCATCATCAAGCAAGCGCTGACATAGAATTCTGAAAGAAAACGTAAAAGAGGAAAATCCAAAGAACACATAACGTCGAGAATCGGAAGTAAACGTAAAAAAAGATAATTAGTAACTGAAAAGACCTGGTGAATATTGTTATCACTTGTTCTTAATATTTTCATTTTTGATTACTCATTAGGTTGTAGTCGAGTATTGCTAAAAATACTACATATTCAAATGAACTACTGAGCCGGAATCCAGTTGTGGTAATGTCTAACTTCAACCAATCCACGAAGTTGCGCCACCGTATGCCAGTGGTCTAGTTGGTTAAGCGCTTGGCGCAAGACTGATAGGTCCTGGGTTCGAATCTCGCGAGAAGCGGGGTCGTGGATGCGCACTGCTGAGGAGTTTCATACTAGGACGAAACGACCGTCCCGTGCTTTCAGGTTTTCCATGGTGGTCTAGCTTCAATTGACTCATGATTTCAACCAGTGAAATTTGTAAAATCTCCACAAACTCCTGATTATAACTAATTGTCTAATTTAAACTCATTTCTTATAGACAGTTTTTACAACCTCAAATCAATTAAGTAGTATAAAAGAGTAAAGAAAAAAATAGTGATTGGAAAGGATTTATTAGCAAAAAAAATCATAAAAACCACTTTTCCATTTCATGATTTCATATTGTAATGTATCATGTTAATGAGTCATTTTATCCATATGATTATTTAGCTTACTTTTGAGATCAGTTTCATTAACCAATATAGAAAAATATACTAATGGAATATTGAATATCAAGAATATTGTTTTAAACAAATCATATTCTTCAATGAAATTTCTTTCAAATAATGTTGATAATGATAATGATGAACATAAAATTACAATGAACATTTGCATTGATCCTAGAACATAATCTTCTATTTCTACTTCAACATCATGACCACCTTGAAGTGTTTGAGCTGTGATGACTGTGAACTACATTGAAAAAAAAGCAAAACACAAAAACAAAACAAAAAACTAACTATCAGAAGGGTTTTTTGGAGATTGTTAGAAATTTCACTGATTGAAATCATGTGTCAATTGAAGCTAGACCACCATGGAAAACCTGGAAGGTCCTGGGTTCGAATCTCGCAAGGGGCGGGATCATGGATGCGCACTGCTGAGGAGTGCCATACTAGGACGAAACGGCCGTTCAGTGCTTCCAGATTTACCATGGTATTCTAGCTTCAATTGACTCATGATTTCAACCAGTGAAAAAACTAACTGTCAAGAATTAGTTGTATGATTCACGTTTGTTTTTAATGATAGAAAATTATTAGAATTAGATTAACAAAGTTAATCTGAATTTTATCATGAACTGATATCAACTATAAAACTGGTGATCATCAAAAGCCTATTGATTTTATCCTAGTTTGAAGGTTTACAATTGTGTCTTCTTTCTGAAGTGACTTAGTCTAGAATGTTTAGATTTCATGACAATGTTTACTATTATTATATTGTTGAAAGTGAATATTCAGATGAAGTAATAGTTTTTATCAGTCAACTAGAATTGACAGAATACTTGACTTTTTTTTATTTACTTCTTTTGCGAAGTGAATTGTATTGATTTCATTCATTCTTGCATATCACTCGAAATAAAACTTCAATCGGAAAATTCTACAACATTTTAGATAAATACTGAAATTGAAGGTAGCTGTGCATAGTATAATCAAAATGTGAACTTATGAATTCACTTCTTGCTTTACACTAAAACTATTATAATATATCACATCTTCACTAAGGATGTCCACCTTTCATAAGTGTATAATTATCCATTAATTTTCCATAAGTATTACAAATCGAAATCATAATAATTGATGTTTCTTCCTTCAAAACAGTTACAATTACTTAACAACACTATTTTTGAAGGGGTAATCATAAGGTTCCGCTCTGTGAGCTATATGATTTGGTCAATGAGTTTCCATTTTTACTCATACTACAATTATTCATCTGGACTACAAATCTTCTCCATTATATCAAAATACATCTACTGTTTCACCTGGTATTGCACAAGCAAGTAGTTATCAGGACTCAGTAGTTAAGTGGATAACATGATGGTGTTTAAAACGAATGGTACTGTGTTCGAGTCCCAGAGTGAACATCAACTTTGGAATGCAGGTAATTCAGCTAACAAGTTCTAAATAAGACGAAAGGAGCATCCTGGATTCCACTGCTAACCATTATCCATCTTTGCTTATAATACATCTACTGTTGCTCATATAAAATATATTGAAAATTCCCTCCCAAATTATTTGACACAGATAAAGAGCACTGATTTCTTTAAGTAAACACAACAAAAGACATTATGTAAATTGTCACCGATTAGGTCTAATTGATAATTTGAAAAGTGAACAGTTAAATGTTACAATTTCGTATAAGTTTAGAAATTGATATAATCCTGGATACCACTTATGAAAATGTAAACTGTGTTCTTTGAGAGCACGCTTTTTAGTCAATCTGTCTCCGACCATATGACTTTCTATAACTGTAGAACTTGAATACTGACTAGTATACTTACATATTTCACTGTACTTCATTTGACAAGGTGATTCTTTGTCATGTAACAAATTGTACATTAAGAATATGTACAGAACTGAATATGATTTCATTTGATAACTACTTTCATAATGAAAAGCTAACTACATATAATGACTATTAATACAAAGTCGTCATCCTGATTATTGATCAAATTACTATTGCTAAGACATCCATTTAAAAGATTTAGATAACGTTAATCAGAAAATTACAGAAAACATATTGCCACTAAGATAAATGTCGATAATTTGTAGAAAGGTAGTCGCTGAAATTGTTTGCAAAGCATTAACATAAGAGTTTGATGATAATTTCTGTTCATATAAGAGGTTTTGTAAATTAAGCACTAACCATTATCCTACGATAAACCTTTTTGGCGCAACGATATCTTTCTTTCAAGAACATTTAATGAAATAAGCATATCGTGCTCTTCGATCTCCAGTGCCAATAAAATGCCACAAATCAGATTTCTATGTGAGTAAACGGTTTTTAGTGTTAAATTACAAGAAACAATCGATACTGTGTGTCACGAGTTTTAGTCAAATAACAAATATTAGTTTCGTCTAAGTCACTGATATCCCATGATATCGAATAAGAGCGAAAACAAAATACAAATCCAAAGATCCCTGTTTATTAATACCACTTAAAATCATAAGCATCACATTTCTTTTTCTAGTTTTACATGTGCGGTCGAGTCGTGGATATACTTGAATTTTTGGAGACTACATGGAATGACAAGAGAACAAACCAGCTTCCAGCTGAAGAAGAAATTAGGAAAAGACGATGGAAATGGATAAGACATACATTACGCAAATCATCAAACTGTATCACGAGGCAAGTCCTAACTTGGAATCGTGAAGGGAAACGGAAAAGAGGAAGGCCAAAGAACACACTTCGTCGGGAAATAGAAGCAGATATGAAAAGGATGAATTACAACTGGAAAGAGCTGGAAAGGATTGCCCAGGACAGGGTTTGATGAAGAATGCTAGTGAGCGGCCTATGCTCCTCCACGAGGTGTAACAGGCGTAAGTAAGTAAGTAATATGGAATGATAACAATTTAAAGCCAGGATATTCCTTTTGTTTTGGTATGGGACATAGAAATGAGCAACCACAACTCTCCTAAGTCCATATTCAATTATTTACATATGTAACCCCAATCATTTTGATATCTCTAAGCTAAGAATATTACATAAATGAATAAACATTTTGAATCATATGTTAAATCAATGAAAACTTACAAATTGAAAGTGTATAAAAGTGAATACCATGAACAATTTACTCGTTAGCTGTTATAATTAAAGCAAAATAATAAATTAAGAGTTATTAATTAAAATTAAAGATGTTGTTTTCAAAAAATGAACATTTCGGGAGGGGGTATTAGTACGCTATGGAATATTTCTAATTATTCTAGAATTTCAATTGTTTTCATCTGATATGAGATGGATGGTGGCAAATAGTGGAACCTAGGACGCGCGTTTCGTCGTATTTGGGACTCGTCAGCCGGATGTATCTGCATTCCAGAGTTGATGTTCACTCTGGGACTCAAACCCAGTACCGTCCACTTCAAATGCCATCGTGTTATTCACTCAGCTACTGTGCCCAATTGCAGTCCTAAACATCAATCGGAAGATTCAAACAAACAATAAAAAATGGATTCAAACTTCACTTCATTGCACAAACTAATTACTATCTGGACTCAGTAGCTACGTCGATAAAGCGATGGTGTTTGTAGCGAACGATACTGGGTTCAAGTCCTGACGCGAACATCAACTCTGGAATCCAAATACATCCAGCCGACGAATCACAAATAGAACGAAACGCTCGTTCTGGATTACACTGCTAGCTACCATCCATCACTGCTTAAAATGATTTTGATCCCAACATCGAAGGGATCCGGATCGAAAGGATCCGGGATGCACATATACCAGTTTCAGACTAATCTACTGAAGTCCTTAACATTAATAGGAATATTCAAACAACCAATACATGATAATAATAATAATAAATGATTACTAAAAACCAATAACAAAGTTATCATTCAATTTCTTAGTGTCTTTATGATGCCTACACGTTCAATAAGAATAGAACGAATATTTCGTTTTATGAAAAATAATCGAAGGTAAAAACTCATAAACTACCATATCGCTCTAGACATTACTCATCAGTAAAATGTACCGGGAAACTTCAGAGGACTAATGCTGCTTGTGTAATTTAGTCTCACAGTACTTAGAATCAGTCAGAAGCACTACCACTGAGCTACTTGAATCAGGATTGACCTGTTTTAGGGGTGACATTTTGTTGACCCGATTGCTATATATATATATATATATTCATAAAATTACTGGTTTACTTACTATTTCAAATCTAATGAAAGTAAATATTAAAATAAGAATAGGTAAAACTATCAGTGGTACTATAAATACATAGAAATATTGATAGAAAAAGACTGTTATATCATAGGAATATTTTGTTGTAATGATGAATAGAACTGTTGATGTTAACAAAACAATAATAAATGAAATAGCATCATCAACTGTAGCATTTTGATATGTAATATTGACCACAATGGATGAATGGAAGATTGTCTAAAATGGGTTATTGTGAAAAAAAGTGAAAAAAAAACAACAGTGAAATGCATATAATTGCTTATATAATTACAATGTTTTGAATAAACTTATTGTCTGTATAGTAGCCAGCATTAGAAGACCAGTCATTTTACTCATCTTATTTGAGATTCGTTAGCTGAATGTGATTGGGATCTCACCAGCAGAGCTTGAATACAATGATTGCCATCTCAAATGCCAGTGTGTTGTCTAGTAGGTTACTGAGTCATAATAGTTGTTATTCACCTCGCGGGTATAATATATACCTCCCTTAAACACCATGACATGTCCAAGGGTTGCGATAGTCTACTCTCACTTTCAAAATCCTCCCTTAAGGTCAAGGGTCTATAGCCTTTACTAGGAAAGTCATACTGATCATCTTCATGTGATAGAGATGTATTACAACGTGAGCGGATGCATGGTGATTGAAACGAGTCAGTGTATACATAGTTTTTCTACAGCATCTGGAAATCCATGGTGTCATACCATTATAAGACATGGACCCCAGAATCCTGAAATAACAAGTGGCATACAAACTCATTTTAATCACCGACTTTCAACCAGCAGATTGCTTTCCCTGAATTTGCTTTACTGACTTGAGGTTCATCTGTTAATCTTATAACAGTTAGATGGTTTAATTATTGGAAACTTATTTCACTATATTTATTCCTAAATGATTGGATCTAATTGAATAAACGTTTATGTAAATGTTTGAACTGAGATAGCTATCACAAACGGATGTCAGTTTATATCTCTGGTTAATAAAAACTATAAAAGTGAATCGTTTGATTTCAACCTAATGACACAAAGGTTAATTTCTCACCAAGAAACTTGAAGTTCCTAGTTTCAATCTCTGAGGCGGTTGTGAGTTCACACATTTGAGGATTGATATACTATAGTAAAACAGCTTTTCAATGTTCACTGGCTTTTAATAGTACATCAGCTATTTTTAATCTGTGATTAAAATCACCTAAATTTATATAAACTTGCTTTTTTTAATTATAATTAGAGTAGGGAGTAACCAGAGTAACGGTTATTCACATCTAAATTATTCATTTAAAATGGATCATGGTATGCAAGACTATAATTTATGGACGAACCAATCAGGAATAATATAAAAGGTGTCGGATTTTGAAGCGAAATTCACTCATTCATTTGGCTAACTAGTGTCTTGGCATTATAGCTGATGTCAATTCGTGATGATAACCCAAAATCTAATTCCTAACCTTTAATCATCAACTGTAAATCACAATTCTAATTCTTCATACCGGTTTATAACCCTCATTTGATCCTAGTTATTAGGTGAATACTTTCAAGGTCACTTTAGCGTCTCTCAAAGGTCGTCCATAAATTATAGTCTCACCATATGGCAGAGAAAAACAAGGATAAATCACTTCGACAAATAAATAAATTATAAGATATACTTACAAAAATACTCAGAATAATTACATTAAGAGGGAAGAATCGTTCAATAGTTGGAACTTTTAAAAGAATAACTGCATTATAACCATTCAATAAACTAAAATTAGGAAGTAATGTTCAGATAATCAATTCTGACATTATACTATATTTGATGTATAAGTTATGAAATATAAAACAGTTTTACAAAAGATTAAAACTCAACTGATCGCTTATTAGTAGTGGAGATCAAATCTAACTTGTGTAAACGAACAAATAACTGTCATTTCAATAGTTGAGATCATGATTCAATTGAAGCTAGATCATCATGGTAAACCTGAAAGCACTGGACAGCCGTTTTGTCCTGTCGTAGGACTCCTCAGCAGAGCTCATTCACAATCACACCTCGCGGGATTCGAACCCAGGACCTGTCGGTCTCGCGCGCAAACGCTTAGCCCCTAAACCACTGAGCCGACATGTTGAGGAGTCCCAAATATGGTGGTCTAGCTTCAATTGACTCATGATCTCAACTTGAAATTATTATAATATCCACAAAAACCCCTAATGATATTAAACAACTGTCAGTTAAAGAGCAACTGAAAACAAATATTAACATACCGTCACATCTATTAAATCGAGAGAGTACTGTTCAGAAAGGTACGCAGATAATAGGTCGGTTGGTGCCAGACAGTTAAAATTTTGTCTTAACTTTACATGGAAGTAAGAGACGAAAGCATTGGCAGATTAAATCCCCCTAGCTACTCATTTAGACATGTTTACTAACCACGTATTTTTTTATCTAGATCACTTTACCATTATATACATATGCATAAATAATGTCCATAACGATTCACTCTTTAATATAAAGTTTCTGCACATTGTTTGTCTTCTCAATTTTCATGACTGATTGTGTTAAGCATTAACAAACCTATTTATTATAACTGAATCGGATTCGTATGTTCGAACATCCTGATATATTATTCACATGTTCAGAGAGTTGAACCAAAAGTAACAAAATGGATTCAATTAGGGCATCATCACGAACGATCAGTCATTAAGGAGAATTCGATCAATCCAATTCTACTAAATCAACAGTATTTAATAACAGACGTCAACAGCCAATAATATTTATCGTAATGAACACTGTAAATTTTCAGACAATAATAGGTCTCCTAAACTTATCATTCAGGAGTTTAAATACTAAATAGGGCTACCAAAGAATATACTGGTATATCATATCAATTGCTTGTATAAATCACCACCAAAAAGTAGGAAGCTTTCAAGTTACTAGGGTGAAGAGGTAGCTGGCCCAAAAATCAATATTGAGAGGGATGTTAATGAATTTTCTAGCTAAATAATTACATTTTTTTCTCGTGTAGACAGAACAAAAACAAAATACTGAGGAATTAGAAATATTGGTGATGCTCAGTTTTTCAAACACGACAATAACTCACAAACAATAAATTATGAACTGAAATAATACGGATTTCTAGTTATTATTATGAATAAATCATTAAATAAATTGATTACTGAGTACTAATTAATGTCACATCCTCTTGTCCTTAGCCTTGATCTAATCATATTGATCAATTTAGAATGTGATCGCCCTGCCTTCTTGAGATGGGGGTGTTGTTTACGAAATCCATAGGACGAAAAGCGGATGTCCATCGCTTTAACTGGGTTGGTGGATATGGAGGATCCACTTGGTGGGAGGGTTGGAAAACCTTGATTCTAAACCAATTTTGTTAATGGGAATAAAACGCGTATGAACCAATTGTCGGTCACCGTCTATCATGGGATTGCATCTCCTAACATTACTCCACTGTCTTGTCGATAAGACTTTTAGGTCGAAGGCTCAGGCTGTGGCCCCTAAGAAAACCACCTGTTTCGGTTTGGGCACCCTGGCGACTTGTGTGGTGCATATGTATTCGGTGCCCGTTTGTGCCAATATTTATGTGTTTAAATAAATGAATAAAATAAACATATTAGTCAGCATCGCGATGTTCTTTCATGTTGGCAATCAGTAGAAGACCGTAGATAATAAATTTAGTGCTAGATGGTAGTCGACAGTAAAATCCAGCTTTGATTTTGGTGAATTTGATGTTCGTAGTGAGAGTTAATTGTGGTAAATCACTGATTAGAAAAAAATATTTCCGTAGATACTCAACATTTGATATCAACCTATTTGGTCTTATTGAATTTAACTAGCCAAAAGTACATGACTGTCATGCACGACGAATGCTTATTTCTACACCATTCTCATTCACTGATCTTTTCTATGTATACATTTCCATTCGAACAAATTTACTTTACATTCAGACTAATAACATCTCTTTTATCAATAATTAATTTCATGTATTCAAATAATCAAGGTAAATTGTATTAAAAGCTTAACATTCACTGTTGTCAGATCCAGATATATCACCCTCATCAAGGATCTGAATCATGATCAGATAGTCTATCAAGTATATTATATATATAATATACCCTTGTGGGCCAGGGTAATTTTATATTGGTTTTCAGCAGAACCAGTCACCATCCAGACTTTCACGTAAAAACCCAAACAGTACAGCTCAACCCCGTTTAGCAGAGGAACCAGACACCGTACAGGCTTTAACGCTACAATCTGAATAGTACAGCTCAATCCTGTGGCTCAACCACACAGGTACCAAGCACCCTGGTGGACCATCTATCAAGTATAACTAAAGTTAAAAAAACAATCCAATCATTCATACCATAACAAATACATTGACCATATATGTTGTCCAATCCATTGATTTAATACTGGCCTAAAATAAATTGACAATTCAATAGATTCATTCTTTGTTAATTCAAATGGCACTTACATATAATCAAAGATGTAGAATACTAAATTCAATAGAAATACTTGAGAAAGAAATACAATAAGAACCTAGAAAAAAAAGTAAATAGAAAGACAATAATATCCTATTTGTTTTTATGACTTTTTCTTATTCAATCATGAATGGATCAATGTGAGTACATTGAAAAAAAAATATGTTACCTTGATATAAAAACGTTCCCGATCTGTTCCTTCATTGTGTATACCATCATGACTAGGATTACTATGATTACTAGCGATACATATATAGTAATATAGAATGTATGTATTTACTGTTTGTCAAATTGCTTTTGTTTTGTTTGGTATTCTAAATTCATGAGCATTTTGTCAATGGATACTTTAAAAGAAAAAGAAAACAATAGAAAACTGAGGCATAATAGGCTTTAGATATACATATAAGAATTCGCTGGATGGTAAATTGAATTCTGAATGACTATCACTGGGGAATAAATAAACACATCATCGAATAGACTATAATAACCTACTACCGTGCTGTGATTTTTCTTTTCCCTTATTACATATATAACCTTTCAACTATACAATTTACATGACTGATTGATTGATTACGCCTGTTACTCCTAATGGAGTATAAGCCGCCGACCAGCATTCTCCAACTCACTCTGTCCTGGGCCTTCTTTCCTAATTCCATCCAATTTTTGTTCATTTTTCTCATTTCTACCTCCATTTCCCGGCGTAATGTGTTCTTTGGTCTTCCTCTTTTCCTTTGACCTTGAGGATTCCATGTGAGAGCTTGTCTTGTGACGCAGTTGGGTGCTTTCCTCAATGTGTGTCTTATCCACTTCCAGTGCTTCTTCCTAATTTCTTCCTCCGCTGGGATCTGGTTTGTTCTTTCCCGCCTGGAGTCCCTCCGGAAGCTACTGACGGTCCTAGGCCTGGATGAAGGAGGAGGGTTGAGCATGGGGTTAGCGACCCCATCCCGTAGAAAACTAACTCGCTAAAAAAACACTAACAATTTACATGAGTTTAAACGTTATTCAATGTGCCATTAAATATTTTTGACAGAATACATTAACTAAATCAATTAAAAATCATGGATGTATGCTGTGAAGATAAGCACGACAAACTTATTTTGTTGATGGAGTTTTATTCTCTGAGCTGGACGGTTTAGTTGTGAAGCTTTCATTGTTCTTCTGAACGACATCATCAGTATAAACTTCAGATAGACTGATTTTTCTAAATAGTTTTTGATATGATTTACATTTATTTTGTTCATTTTCACAGTTTGTACATTTATTACAAAATGATTGTGAAAGTTGTTGAAGTGCATGACCTTGAACTCACTCTTTTCCATTTTGAATCGCTCATAGCATAATACACATTGTTAACTGATCGTAAATACACTATTACACACATGTCACTTTTGTTCTCTATTGCCCTTCGTTATGATAACTGAACTCTGAAATATCTATTATCTACATTTATAGACTACAGTCATATTTCCATTATATTCTATGTTTGGCTATATGACTGGAATCACAACAACATCATTGGAATTATTAATTATCTATAATTGTGGATTATGGTTCCAAATACAATCTGAACACACCAAAACCTTCCAATTTAAGTAACGTCCCATAATTTTATAAATTATAATTATGATAAGTCGTGTGGATTGAACGTTATATTAGTTTCCTAAGCTATTCCGGTAACCTGCAGTCTAGAACTACACAGCGACTTGAACACCAAAGAGAAGACACAAGTATGAGAGAAAATACTTTGTCCCAAAGTTCATTTTTGTACAGAAAATTGTTGGTATTTATAGATGTTGGCGTCTGTTGAATCAACATCATATTTTCAGCCAATCCGTTAACGACATATTATGCTACCGACCAATAGTAGCACGCCACGCTGGAACTCTCGAATGTTCCATCATACTCTGGTTGGCTAGGACCCTTCGGCTTATTCTGGGCCTCTGGAGGCTCCGTTGAAGTTCTCCGGAAGCCGACTCAACAAATTAGTATATTATAACATTAACGTTTGGACGTAATAACTTCACTGTCACACTTTTGAATTAATACAATTTTTGATCGACCACAATGCCTTATGTCAAGAATTAGAATTTAATAACTATTAATTTACCATTGTAGGACTTAAAATATACAAGCAACAGATAATCTCTTATGCCAATAAGAGACTGATCAATTTCAGTCCTAAAAACATCAATGGGAAGATTCAAGTAAAACAATACCAAGTGAATTAAACTTCAACCCATTGCACAAGCAAGTGGCTATCAGGACTCAGTAGCTAAGTGGATAACGCGGTGGCGTTTGAAGCGAACGGTACTGAGTGCGAGTCCCAGAGTGAACATCAACTCTGAGATGCAGGTACATCCGGCTGACGAGTCCTAAACAGGACGAAACGCGCGTCCTGTATTCCACTGCTAGCCATTATCCATCTTTGCTAATAACTAATCTTGTTTGTATTGAAAACATAATCCTTTATTCTAGCCAGTAATTATGATAACTACATTCTGATTATTAACACAAAATGTTATATGCCATGGTCAGGAAAAAAAGAAGATGGTTGTCACGTGAGTTATAACACAATGTTAGTTTTTGAGCATAATACGTAATATCTACCCATCATAAATGTGACATTTAAAGCTATTTAAAATGAAGTCCTTGCTTCAACTGTTAATATTAACTTGATATCTAAGTCGTACTACTTTCTAGAATACTTTCATCAATAAAAGAATGAGTTAAACCATAATATCCCTATTTGGCTGTTGAAGTGGCAGTTGATGACTAAGATATTTAAATATACAACTCAAAATGTAGTAACCTATATCATGTTGTCTAGCCTATGATACTAGTTGGATCCTCACATTCAAGAGTATAAATATGAAAATGTACTAGTGTAATGGCTTTGCTTTGTTAATCAATTGCCTCGATAACTGTTATGATATAAATCTCAACGCTGTTTGAAATCAGAAGGTAATGAGAAGCAGCAAATACAGTTTCTTAGCTGATAGCGCAGATCACAAAGCGATAAGCACATCAAGCTCATTTGAAACAGAGAGGCGAATATGTGTATGTGAGCAAATACATAGACAAATTTATAGTCAAATTGCACAAGAGCTCAGTAAGGCAAAGCAAAGACTAATAATAGGATTTGAGTACATATATAAATGAGGAGGAGGAGGATGAATCATCGAGTGATATTTAACCGATCAACACTTTAGCTCTAGTCTGTCATAACGGTACAAAGAAATAGACGAATTGTTACTGTTCTAATAACATTGTCTGTTAATTGAGTTAATAAAAAGTCTTAACCAAAATAAACTATAGTCGCTGCTTCTCATTACCTTCTGATTTCAAACAGCGTTGAGATTTATATCGTAACAGTTATCGAGGTGGTTGATTAACAAAAAACAAACCCATCACAATCGTTTCTACTAATCAATCTCAAATTGATTCAACACTTTTCTTTTCTTTTTCATTTACGACAATCATAAATCTATCATAAGCTGGATGAAAATGAGTTCAATTTGGAAAAATCTATACATTACTGATCACTATAATAATACAAATGAATAGAATGAGACTTACTTAATACCTTAGTTTGGTTAATGTAAATGGTTATCAGACTTTTATAAATTACGCAATACAATTTAATTATGAATTAATAAATTAAAATCTATTAATCTATGTATATCAAAATGATTTCAATCTTTGAACTGTTATAATTGATTTTCATTTCAATTGTTTCTTATTGATAAGCCTTTTTCATTGATTCAATTCGATGAAGATTTCCAAAGTCGAAAAATTGATTTATCTAATTACGTGAAGATTTAGTTCATACATCGTTTCATCCTAAACGGACTTAATTATTTAATGAGCATTATGCAATATAATAAATCTTATAAGCAGTGGAACTGAGGACGCGCGTTTCGTCCTATTTGAGACTCATCAGATAGTTGTACTTGCATCTTAGAGTTGAATTTCACTCTGAAACTCAAACCCAGTACTGTTTGCTTCAAAAGTCATTACGCCATCCACTTAGTTACTGAGTCCTGATAGCTATTTGCTTGTGTAATGGTTTTAAGTTTAAATTCACTTGGTATTCTTTATTTAAATCTTCTCATTGATGTTTAGGGCTGAAATTGATCAGTCTCTGAATGGCAACTGTGTATGTTGTGCGTATTGCCCAAATAGGACAAAACGCGCGTCAAACTAGATTCCATTGCTAATCATTATCCATTACGCATTAATGCGTAAATTAAGGCATCACGGAAAATATGAACAGTTGCCAATAAGAGGCTGACCGATTGCAGTCCTAAACATCAATGGGAGGATTCAAGTAAACAATACCAATTGAATTTAATATAATGAATAGTTTTTTAGTGAATAAAAACACAAGTGGAGACAATGAAATGTATTTTAGATACGAAATTACAGAACATCTTAGTAAAATCTGAGAACCATACGGTAAATTATTCATTTGCCAAATGTCAATCAATTGTCTCAAACTTGACTGTTCCTTTTACAAATATCAGTCAATCGTCTCGGACTTCATTGTTCTTTCGATCCCACAAAAATCATTCTTTGTTTTCGTTCTCATTTTATTGATCTTCTTAACCTTATGTCTCCAAGCATTTCACTTTTGATTGATGTTACATACTACTTATATCTATCAAGATTAGTAGCACACCACAATTTCATAGACAAAGTTTATAATTCGCTGACTCCTGATGTGGAACGTGAACATATTTGAATTTAAAATTCCTAGGAAAAAGATCATCAAATTTGAATACTTTATACAGAATTATTTCAGATGAAAAATCAGAAGTCAAACAGTGTTTGATAGTTATTTAGACCTAATTTACAGTAGCTCAGCAATGAATATCTAAAAAGAGTCTATTAAACTCTCTAATTCATTTTGTCAAGACATAGAGTTACTAGAATAAAAACAATGTATGCGCTGTATAAAAGATATGGCTTCTAACAAGGCAAAATGTTTTGAAACCTGAGAGATGAAAGATATCGAACTAAAGAATTTGAATGATAGTATACATACATCTTGAAAGAATTAGAGAACACCTCAACAATCCAATCGGGAATGTTTTATAGGCTGAAATCGCATCGAAATCACTAACCGATCAAAATTTGACAATAATTAAATTTGTGAAAACACTGAATAGCCGTTTCGCTGTAGTATGAGATAACTCACTAGTGAGCGCCTGCTACCCTGGAACCGGGAATCAACCCCAGAGCCTTCAGTCTCACTTACTATCATAAACTGATTAGAACTAGACGTGTATACCACTGGATTCGATTCCCGATTGCAGGGTTGTGGATGTACAGAGCTACGTTGTTCCATACCCGGAGGAAACGACTGTCTGGTTAATCAGGGGTTTGATAGTTGTCTAACTTTGATCAGTTTATGATTTCAATGTATTTCAATGATGTTCACAACCCCATACAAATTGAAATCTTTTCTAACTAAATATACTTTTAAATTATCCATAACTTAAATATCTTTTCATTGGATTAACAACTTTATTATTTCAATAACCACTAGCAATCCAAACCCCCCCCCTAATTATTTACACTCATGGCGATTGATAATGACTCTAATTACACCTAATCAATTTTTCAGTCATTTTACTGTCGTGTCAGCAAAGTTACTTATTCCGAGCAATTAAACTAAGGAGAGATGAATCTCTGATTAAAATTTCTTAGCATAATAGTACAAGATTAATTCCCTGAAGAGCTGGACTTGTAAACTAAATTAAAATAATAGATGTCTTGTCGAGAAACAGCATATTATCGACCACTTAGACAAAAATTAGGTATGAAGAAACCTTACGGACATATGCTTACCGTCGTACTGTTTCCACAGGACTGCAGAAAACCAAAAGTCGTTTAATTTTAAATTATAATAGTTGGATTCGTGAGTCGACCTAACTTAAACCACCACTGAAAGCCTAGAAGCACTGTATGATCATTTCTTCCAAGTATGGGACTCCTCAGCAATGCATATCCACGAACCCGCATGTGGAACTCGAACCCTGAACTTTCGGTCTCGTGAGCGGCCCAGAGTCCGGGTCCCACGTGCAAGATCGTGACTGTGCACTGTTGAGGAGTCCCATACTTGGACGAAATGGCCGTCCAGTGCTTCCAGGCTTCCAACTGTGATCTAGTTTAGATCGACTCATGAATCTAACTATTAAAATGCCCATCTCCACAAATCCCTATTCTGATAATTTTAGATTAACTAATTTGCCTACTTAAAGTAGTAATAAAGATTTATAAAAATTATTTCGACACGTTGACACTTTTTGATTAGTAACTATATTTAGTGTCATTCTAAACTGATAAAATTCCTTTCTATTTTAAGGTGATCTATACTAGTGCTAATGAAATGATAAGCAAATGAACTAAAATAAAAGTTTGTTTAAATTAACTAACAAAAATCCACTAGGTGTTGTTTTACTTGAATCTTCCCATTGATGCTTTAGGACTGAAATTGATCAGTCTCTTATTGGCATATGTGCATACTGTGCGTACGCCTCAATACTGCCTTAATTTACAAGCATTATAACCAAAGGTGGATAGTGGCTAACAGTGGAATCCAGGACGCGCGTTTCGTCCTGTTCGGGACTCGTCAGCTGGATGTACCTGCATCTCAGAGTTGATGCTCACTCTGGGACTCGAACTCAGTACCGTCGGCTTCAAATGCCATCGTGTTATCCACTTAACTGCTGAGTCCTGATAGCCACTTGCTTGTGCAATGGGTTGAAGTTTAATTCACTTGGTATTGTTTTACTTGAATCTTCCCATTGATGATGCCAGACACTATCCATCTTTGCTTATAATGCTTGTAAATTAAGGCAATATTGAGGCATACGCACAGTATACACATATGCCAATAAGAGACTGATCAATTTCAGTTCTAACTAACAAAAAGTTTTAATTTTGACGTTTTACACAAATGACTAACTTTAGTCAGGCAATTAATGAAATCAAGGACCAACTGAATATCTATTTCGTCCAAATGCAGGAATGCTAAACATCACATCATGTTGAGTGTGAGACAAGTGCTAACATAGATTGTAAAATACAGACTTCTAGTTTGATAATCAACAAATTGAATCTGTTCAAACTTTCTTGCTAAATAACTATTTTGTTGCTTATCACATAAATTACTACTATCAACTGAATTATTTATCTCGTCATTTTAGCTGTTATCAACTACATATTACAGTTAAGCGAATAAACGAAGATCGGAAACTTTAAAAGATACTCACTAGGGATTCAGTAAATATATTTATCATGTGTATTTGTGTTATGTCCCGACAAGAATAATGAATGGTAACTTTTGGGATCTATTGATGGACTAATACTAAACTTATATTTCTATTGTATAATTATTAAGTAACTAAACTAAGCATATTCTTATCATAATCTTTATTTTGACCCATAAACTATTATTATACGTGTCACCATTCTTGAGTTATACCCAGCATATTAATTACTACCTCCCTCATTCACAGTCACATCTGGCTAATCCTTTTACAAATGTTGTTTCATATTTTATTGGTACGTTGTGGTCTGTTTGATTGGTATATAAACTCAGTATGTTTGAAATATAATGATTCATATTGCAGAGACTGAGATTGGCGTTCTGAACTTAACTGGCTGGGCTAGGCGGAAAGCAGAGCCAATCAGGACTCTAGGCTGCTCAAAAGGGGTTTACGCGTCATTGTTCCGATTGATAATTCACTGCTCTCTAATCGGCGGTCACAAGTTATAACACTTTGTGAATCAGTCGGTTTATGGTATGTTTTTTTAAATATTATCTTAATTGTAAACTTTTGTTTGATTTATTAACTGTTGCCAAAACGTTTATTTTCCATATATTTTGGCAAATTACTCATAAGCCTGCAATTCAGATTTGTAACACAAATGTCCTAGTTCTGCGCATTTTAATATTTATTACCGATAGTTTATTATATTCCTGAAATTTGTCTGTATGATCATGTGAAATTTTAAGTGTGAATAAAATGGAATAATAAGAGTTAACTGGCAAACTTTTCCAGTATTCTAATTCTCAGGTTAATAAAGAGTAATAATTTGGCACGAACTATTGATCGTTGGTATTTATACAGCCACAGTATTAGTGGACATAGTTATAGTGGATGTAACATAGTCATAACGATAATTGCCTAAAGGATTTGACCAATATTAATTATACACATTAATTATGCTTTCATTACTTCAAATAACATCATTTTTGTATGATGAAGCAGTAAGAAGCGATTCACTACACCCTTTTATAAAAGAAAGCTAACAATCTGTCATCTATCAGAAACATTCCTAAGTCAGTACTCGATGATTAGCTTGTGTAAATGTTATAGTTAAGCAGGAGATCTCTTGTAACACGAATACGTCAATGGTAACATTAAACTGTAAAGCTGTACGAGTAGTTTGAATCACATGAGAAGTAATAGTTCCCATAATTCGCAGGTAGGCTAACAGACCTGCTAACAAGTACGAACTGATACGAAATTTAGATTGAACAAGGTTCCCTACTGATTGCATCTAACTATCTACAATCAAAACGCAATCCAGATGATATCAATTCAGCAATACTAATCATTACATTGTATTGTCCAGTGCTATATCAAGTATAC